GTTTAAGTTAATTTAATAAAATAAAATAATATAATTTTTACAGTGTAATATTATTATTGCTATAGTAATATGTTTATTGATTAAGATTTTATAATTTATAATCTAATAAGATTAAATGTGTAAATAATTTATAATAATAATATAATTTTTAAATATTTACATGACAGTAGTATTATTGCTGTTTTAAAATGTATAATTTAATAAAATAACAATAGTGTGAGAGTGTGTTTAATGACTCCAGTGTCGTCTGTCATCCATCCAAGTCTTCATCCCTGTCTGTCTGTGATGATGATCAGCAGAGATTATTTGCTTTCTGATGGCCTTGATGAAATTGTGCGTCTGCTGCTGGATGTTGTGTAAGTCGAGGCTGCTGTTTGCACAGGGGCGTCTCGTCTGATTTACAGTGCGTTCTCATGCCACATCTGCATGTTTCCTAAAGTGTGTGTTGTCTTTAGGGAGTTTGTGTTGAAACAGAATAAGGTTATAGTTTGATTGCGAATGCTTAACCAGTGACATTATTCTAAAGAGAAATATGTTTGTCTTTGTAATTTCTTAACCAGTGTAATTTTAGTTTAGTTTATATACTATTATTGTATATATTAAAATTTTGGATTAGCTTTTATTTTTATATTTTCAGTTTTCATTTTAACTTTATTTTAAGTTTTAGTAATTTGACGTGCTTTTGTTATTTATGTGAGTAATATAAAAGATAAATAGAAATAATTGTAAAAAAATTTTTTTAAATTAAAATATTAAATAATGATTAAAGAAAAATTATAAAATAATTTAAAATAATTTAAAAAATTCTATTTAGCTTAATTTTTTAATATAGTTTAGTTCGTAAAATACTTTGAAATTCTTAAAAAAAAATAGTATTTAGCTTTATATTAAATATTTGTATTAATGTTTATTTCTGTTTAATTTTAGTAATTTTAGTACATCTTAAACTTATTTTTCCAGTTACTGAAATTATTTTCAGAGTTACTAATTTTTCAGTACTAAAATTAAACTTAAAAATTAAATAAAAAATTAATATTAAATATAAAAAAAAAAAATCCATTTAATTTTTAATTTTAATTTTTTTTTTTGTTTAATATGAGTAATTTTAGTACTTCGTCTTAAAAACATATTTCAGTTAGTTCCCATTTCATCTAAATTAAAAAAAATTTAATAATAGCTTTTCATCTGATATTTATGTTTTATTTTATTTCAGCTTTATTTTTAGTAGTTTTAGTTAACAGCACTGCAATAACTGGTAATAGCTCTGCCTTGAACGGCTTTTCTTGTTCATATCATATATTGGGTGAGGTTAACCAGTAATATTAACCAGTTATTTAGGTGTTGCGTGTGTTGTAATGTGTGTTCAGGGGCCCTACGGATCCGCAGCTCCTCCTCAGATGCAGCAGATGATGCCCCGTCTCTTCACTCCTCAGCCGCGGCCCGATCCTGCTGCTCCTGCTGGAGCTCCACCGTCGAGCCTCAGACCCTGTGTCTACCCACAACACCCTGCCACAGCTCCGGGTACCTGTCAATCAAATACCATTCATAATATACACCAGTCATTCAAACACTGATGTGCACACTACTGTACTGAGGCTCCTCTGCTCACCAAAGCTGCGTTTATTTGATCCAAAATACGGTACAAAATTGTGAAATATTTTTACAATTTAAAACAGCTGTTTTTCATGTGAATGGCTGTTAAAATGTAATTTATTGCTGTGATCAAAGCTGATTTTTTTTTTTTTGAGTCGCACATCCAATCAAAGTATTCAAGAGTTACATAAAAATAAAAAAATGTAAAGGTTAAAGAACAAAGCTAGAATATAGGAATAAAATAATTTACAATATAATACAAAATTAAAATTGTGCAAATAAATAGCAGTGTAAATAAATATACAATACAGTGCAGATGTAGCTGTTATATTTTCATTATTTCATATTTTCAAGATTAAATTGTAAACATTTTATTAATTAATTTTATTAGACACCATTTTAATGATACATTTGTATTAAATCATAAAATGCAGAATCTAGAAAAAATAAAACGGAAAACACAGAATTTATGGAAATTAAAAAGTAAATGTTATGTTTACATTCGTTCTCAAAATGTAACAAAACATGTAGAAGCATTTCCTTCCCCGTTAAAGAATATCATGATAAATATTGATATCATATGATAGTCCAACCAAAATTTATTCAGACACCTTCAACATTTCTCACATTATCAGTTTATTTGCTATAGTTTAGAAAATGGTAATAAAATATGACAAGAACTTGTTTGAGAACAAATTAATCTTGATAATGTCAGATAAATTAGAGAAAAAACTGAATATGATAAATATTGATATCATATGATAGTCCAACCAAAAATTATTCAGACACCTTCAACATTTCTCACATTATCAGTTTATTTGCTATAGTTTAGAAAATGGTAATAAAATATGACAAGAACTTGTTTGAGAACAAATTAATCTTGATAATGTCAGATAAATTAGAGAAAAAACACACAAGCAAAACATGCTCAGGTCAAAGTGTCTGAATAATTTTTGGTCCCAAATTTTACTGGTAGTCCACTGTATGAAGAATTTTTGGGTATAATATGTCACAGTTTATTTTATTTTGCTATCCTCACTTACATAAATGAACTATAGTGTCCTGCACCCACTAGTAAAAAAATATCAGAAATTATATCTGCTGTCTGAATAATTTTTGGTTTGACTGTATGTAAAAAAAAAAAAAAGATTGTGCTTGTAATATTTTTGGCCATATCACCCAGCCCTACCCCATCTTTTGAACAGTAGTGTATTATCAGCAAGCAAATGTATTTGATAAAGCTGTCTGCCTGTGATGTTTGGTTCCTGCAGGTTTTGCTCCGTCTCAGCCGTTTGCTCAGTCTGGTTCTTTTGGAGCTCCGGTGGGTTTCATGTCCGGCCCCTCGATGTCCGGCCCCTCGATGTCGGGGCCCTCAGTGCCGCCCTCCTCGCCCCCGGGCCCCATGATGCCCGCTCCGCCCGGCCCAGGGTTCCTCTCACCCACGTCTCTGCCCTGGTTTCCAGCGGCTCCTCCCGGCGGGGCCTATCTTCCTCTCGGAGCCGGGTATCCTCAGGGCGGCCCCGGAGCCCCAGGGGCCAAGATCTTCAGCGGCGCCGGTGTCCCGCCTCCACCGACAGGTACCTGCAGACGTCTGGAGGAACCGCTGAACACAGCCGTGTCTCATATGTGTATTTATATTCATCCTGCTGTTTGATTTCCAGGATATTTCCCATGGCTGATGTGCCACACAGAAGAGGAAGGTGACAGGGAGAGAGTGTGTGTGTGTGTGTGTTTGAGTGTGTGTGTGAAAGTGTGTGTGTGTTTGAGTGTGTGTGTGTGAGAGTGTGAGAGAGTGTGTGCATGTGTGAAAGAGTGTGTGCGCGTGTGAGAGTGCGAGTGTGAGAGTGCGTGTGTGTGCGTGCGTGCGTGAGAGTGTGCGAGTGTGTGTGCGTGCGTGTGCGTGAGAGTGCGTGTGTGTGAGTGTGCGTGTGTGTGTGCGTGTGTGAGTGTGCAAGTGTGAGAGTGTGTGCGAGTGTGAGAGTGCGTGTGTGCGAGTGCGTGTGTGTGTGTGCGAGTGTGAGAGAGTGTGTGTGTGTGTGTGCAAGTGTGAGAGTGTGTGCGAGTGTGAGAGTGCGTGTGTGCGAGTGCGTGTGTGTGTGTGCGAGTGTGAGAGAGTGTGTGTGTGTGTGTGCAAGTGTGAGAGTGTGTGCGAGTGTGAGAGTGCGTGTGTGCGAGTGCGTGTGTGTGTGTGCGATACTGTTCAATGCAGAGATATCGTGTGTGTGTGTGTGTGTGTGTGTTTAAGAGGGACAGCAACAGTCCAAACTCAGCTCTTCTAATATTTAATGCTGACTGATTACGAGTCATTTGCATATTCGCACACTGATCATGTCGCACATCTCTCTGAGCTTCATTGTTAATGTTTGTGTGATCGCTCAATGCTGATTAAAACTATGCTGTGTGAGTTTTGCATTATATAAACAGACTAAGAAATGTCTACACTAATGTTTCAAAGTTTGGGGTCGGTAAGATTTGAAAAAAATTTCTTCTGGTCATCAAGGCTGCATTTATTTGCTCAAAAATACAGCAAAATAAAAATTATTGAAGATTTTTGTATAATATATAATATAATATTTATATTGTTTTGTATAAAATATTTTAAAAAATAAGTAAATATTTTAAATCATAAATATTCAAAAATATTTATAAATAAATATTTTATTAAAAAAAAAGTGAAATATTATTACAATTTCAAATAGCCTTTTTCTATGTTAATATATTGTAAGATGTAATTTATTTCTGTGATCAAAGCTGTATTTTCAGCATCATTACTCTAGTC